AGCAGGGCTATTGCTGAAAAAGTGCAGCTAGTGTGATTCCCCCACCCCCACCCCTCCCCAATTCTACACAGAAGTTGGTGGCTGCATGCCACACTGTGCCACCAGCACACGCAGCCCAGAGGGCTGATGTCACCACACAGTGGGGTGAGTCCCTTAACAGACCAGGATCAGGGATGCTTGAGAGGTTTGGGTTTTTTCTTTTCTTTTCCCCCCTTTCAAGAGCTTCAGTTTTAATTCAATGTTCACAGACCATCACAGTTTGCTCTTTCCTAGGCTAAGGCCACCAGGCCTTGCAGTTGAGGTCTGCTCCACAGTCTTTGGCCAAACTCTCCCGGCATTATCCCCCTAGCCCAAAGTGGCTCCTTCTGGGCCCAGCTGGGCTTTTTGTGTGCTTTCCAGGAAGCAGATTCTTGGAGCAGGAGCCCTGTAAAAAAGCAGACAGCTAATGGGATCACTGTTGCTGTAAACATGTTTCTATGAAATCTCGCGTTCACCCCTGAGAGATGGGCTGCACTCACTCTGCCTGCCCCTCAGGACCACACACCTGTGCCTTCAAGGTGTCATTCACAGTCACAAGGTCTTTGCGTAGCTTGCTCCTGACTCATCTCGGACCAAGAGGGGAGGTCAACAGGGACAAGCACATGCTGACCATTGTGCCTAGCAAAATCTAGGCCCAGCTCCTTCTGTGGACAAACTAACTCAGCTGCAAGTCAGATGCCAGGGAACTGGTACAGCTGAGCCATACGAAGCTCCAGTCCAGGCTGGCAAACTAAGACAACTCAACTGGTCAAGAAGTTTTGTGTTCAAAGCAGCAGGCAAAGGTGCAGCTTGAGACTGTGCCACAGTCTCGCTCCATGATTTCAGGTGACATCTCCAGGTCTTGAGCACCTGCAGAGTTAGGGCAGCAATCCTTGCTTCCGTCCTCTGGCTGTGGGGTTTCTATAGCCAAGGAGTTTTGGAGCAGGGCTCAGCATCCAGCACAGCAAGGACCTTGTTGCAGAGGATAAAGGCCTGTTGTATACACTGTAGTAACTGCTGCCTGCCCCAAAAAATTCTCTGTGCTGCTTTTCCTGCAAAGCAGAGCTCAGCCTGCTCCTCTGGCTTGGGCTCCACGCAATGATGCTCTTGATGTTGTGGAACACCAGTGGGAGTGCACTGAGAGGAGCAATCTGCTCCCTGCAGGCAGGGGCCAGCGATGGTGCCAGGCAGCTGCGGAGCAGAGCCCATGCTGGAGTAGCAGATAACCTGTGACAGATGTGCAGCCAGCACAAAGCAAAAGGAGCAAGACAGGAGGGAAAACAGCTGGAAATAACAAGAGCTTGGAAGCGGTCACAATTTATACAGCAAATTAACAGCAACAAAAAGTTGTGATCCCTAGAAAGCTTTGCAAATCCCCCTGCTATCAGTAGCTGTTGGCTCTGGAGGTGGTTTGCCAAACCAGTTTTCCAGCTGGGATGCTGCTGCTTTTTTTTTCACTGGCCCCCTTGCTCAAGATGTGCTTAAAGCAGTGTGCTGGTATAAGGTCAGCCAGCACCGAGCTTTGGCCAGGCTGAGCGTGGAATAAAACCTGGGGTCAGGGCTGAGGCACAAGCATTTGCTTCTCAGCACCGACCCTGACGGCCTTCTCATAGGAGGCTTCCTTGCCTGTGAGCAGAACTTTACATACCCAATGGCTGTGGCAGTGGGCTCCGGATAGTCTCCATTAGCTGCGATTCTTGCATCCAGACACCATCAGATACAAATGCTAAGGGAAGGACACAAACCCACCAGTGTCTTTGCAGTACAGCTGGGGCTGCGAACCCAAGACACGTAGCATTCAACATAGTGTCATCCCTCTCAACCAAAACAAATAGCAACATATGCTTCAGTCTCAACTGAATGACATCAGCAATACATACATATATAAAGTGCTTTATTGCAGCATCAGAATAAAGAATTCTTCTCTCTGAAATTTTGTAGGAATAAAAGACATTTTAGATATATTTATAAAAAACCACAATACACTTAAAAAGTGGAAGTTTAGAGATTCATCACTTAAATAGCAGTGGGCTGGACAGAATCTTTGATGGGTTATAAAAATAAACACTTGCTTAATGTCTACTTTTCTCATGGCACCCCGCAAAGCCTCCCAGTGTGTAAGGTGCTTGTGTGAGAAACAACACTGCTTCTTGTTTCTCATGCTCCAGTTCATGCCTGTATCGTCCAAATGATACAGGCAGCGAGGCAGAACAACCACTCTGCTTTTAATCAGCTTTGGCGGGGGGTGGGCTCAAAGCAAGAAAGTTTTCTACTTGCCTTTGGATGGGAACTCCATTTATTACAGAAATTACAGTTTCTTTTTGGGGGGTTAGATTGGTTAACATACCCAGTATAAAAAGGAGGAGGGTGCAAATCCTGGGTAACAGTCCTTATTGTAAGAGCACTTCCTCAGAGAGCAGCCAGTCTAACAAGGAAATTGGCTGAGTTACTGAAAGTCTCCTTCAAGAACGGCTGTTTGCAGAGCTCCTGCTTCCATGCATGGGTCCAATACTGGACACTAGGCACATTTAACAGGAGGTCGTTTTAAAGAAGTCTGTGCACTGATGGTAAATAAGCTCCTCTGAGAGTCTGCTGTGTTAATGATGACATATGATATGGGAGAGGAAATAATAGGAAGATGCTTTGCCAAATGACAGATGATAACAAGGTCATCCTTCCATGGTCTCAGCCACTCAATTTGTCTGCTTCCCGTACAAACACCTCCATGTCTGTTGCTGAGCCTCCCTGTACACACCCCAGGCTCCCAGAACCAAGCCGCCAGATCACTGCCACCCCCTCTTGACCACCTCCTTACCAGAAACTAGTGAGCAAATGACCATTTGAGCCAGGGAACATGTAATGGTCATGAAAATTTACGAGGGACTGGGTCTCCATCCATGCTTATTTGGTTGAGTCTTCCTTCTCACTCTGTACGTAACACCGATCATCTCAGACTGCATGCCTGCTGGGAAACAGACGGTGTCTGCCTATGTTTTGATAGCACCCAAAACTGGAGTCTGGGGACATGAGTGTGGAATAATAGTTAACTAAGAATAGTTCAGTGCATTAACACTTTTGGTTTACCAGCAACGAAGTCTTAGGTACTGATGACCAAGGATGCAATGTTCTATCAGTAACCAAGGCAAAAGGATCAACAGACACTCAACGTATATAAGACACTCCCAGAAAGACTCCCCAGAGAGCTATCAGACCATGGATATTCACTGGCCCCAGAGAAAGCTCCTGCAAGAAGCACAGACCTAGCACAGGACAGTCAACCAAAGACCTCTGCACCCAGACAGATGATTCTTTTGTCCAACAGGGTCCTGCAGAAAAACATGTAGTAGCCAACAGCCTTGGGTGAAACCTCTAGTCTAGAAATGACTCCATTCTTCTTTACATGTGCTTGTCTGGCTCTTTTATTTCCTTTGATGCATAAAATTTGCTAAATAAAAGCTATGAACAATTTCTGCCGAGTTCAGTGACTGAACATCCAGGGATAAAGGTGCTCAGCCTAGTTTCTCTGCAGGAAACTTGGGAGCTCCCAAAATATACTGGGAGAAACTGATATGGGCCTATGAAAAGCTGAATAAAACCCAGGCAAGACCAAAACGCCAACAGAGAGCATCGTGATCCGTGATCTGCAGACATCAGGTATTGACCTTACTAGCATGTATGTGTCTTTCTCCTTTGGAGCCACACTTGCTCGCCTGCCCCATCAGCAAGCCTGAGGAGCACAGGGTCTGCCCATGACTTGCTTTCTCTGGACTGCCCCTCTCTGGGGACCTGGGCAGACACAGCATGGAGCAGGGCCCTAGGCCAGCAGCAGACTAGAGAGGGACAACGCTGGATGCTCCCAGCGGTGCCTGACTTGTTCCCATCCCCATGGAGAACTTGGCGTGGTGCTTTTTGCTCCTCTCCAGCATCAGCAACGGCCAAGCTGCCTCCTGCCCCCGGCAGGGCTGTGGGAGGGAAACGCAGGACTCTCTGCTGGGCCATGTCACGGGTGCTCCCAAGCACTGAAAGCCGCTGGGGGGCTGCCAGGGAGCCGAGTCGTGGAGGCAGGCTGGGGG